CTTTATCAAACATGAGAAAATCCAATGCTGAATAACACATCAACTAACTATAATGCATTTGTTGAGCTCCATTGAGTAAAGCAGAGATCATATTGAAAAATCTATGTGATTGTATAATTGACAATGGTGTTCATTATTAAGAAATGTTGAAAATTAAAGTTGTGTGTGTTACCATTAAATAGTTTTTGTGCACATAATATATACATTAGCATAGTTCTTACAGCATTATAAATCCTCATCATCTCCTGCACTTCTCAATTTAAGTCATTTGTTTTATAATGAGAGGGACTTTCAGATGCTACAGCAGAAACTTCCAAATTCTTTTCCTAGTGATGCTGATACTGTCAGATATAATAATCTGAAGCCTAACGTCTGAGTTCCTCTGCCTCTGAGGAAATAAAGTGACTCAAAGGAGGATGAATATAATGCAAAATCCCCCTTCTCCAAATCCAAACCCTAAAAATCCCCAAGAGCTGCAAACAATCCAACTGCAAGGACAGTAAGGAAACGCCAAAACAAAGAAACCGGAGCAGCTGAAGGTTCTTGCTGAGCAAACATTGGCTGACTGCCACGAGAAATGCCAGCAAAGCAAGCCTTTTCCAAAAGCTCTGCAATCCCTTCTGGCTTTTAAAAACCTCACCCTTCAGGTTAAATTCTATACTTCTCTGGAAGATTTTTATCTCTCTAAGGGAAAGTTATATGTGAAAAATCTGGACACATCAGGTAAATACCTTGCTTAAAGGACCATATGTTTTCTTAACCACACAACCAATTACTGCAAATATAGACAGGAAAATACAGATTAGGCATCTTCAGATACTGTTACTTCAAGGACTAACATGCCTTTGAGTATTTGCCATCAGTCATACAAAAAGACAGAGCAAAGTTCCAACACAACAAAAAATCTTCTCCTGCAAAGGATGCTTCATTGCAGGAAGTCATGCTTAGATGGCCAGATGGCATCTGTGGCAAAAGTGTCATCTCTTATCTCTACTTGCCTAGAAAATCTGTTCTGTATAAGACCTGGCTATAACTATTCATCAGTTGGAACTCACACACTATGTTTTCTTAATTCTTTGCAGCTGAAACTGAACACAAAATGCAGTATCTCAGTTTGCACAGACTGATTATAGGAGAGGATCCCTGTGTTTTCCTGTTCTTGTGTCTCCCCTTGTTTCAGCTGCAAGCCTTACTCCTAATTTTCTAAAGAACTATTGGCTCAAACTCTGAGGTATAACAAAGATTTTTGGTCTATGTGTCATTATGGAAGTACACCAGTCTGAATCAATGCAGATCAGAGAGCTGAGGATAAATCACACAAGGAGCTATAGATATTGGGCTTTCTGAGCCAAGGAAAAAATAGGCAGCTTCATCACAAAGTTTGTGAAACTTCTTCAGAAAAGACCTTTTCTAGGAATGAAACTCACAATTCTAGTGTTAAAAGAAACTAGCACCTAGTTAAACGAAACAGCATCAGAAAGCCATATATCCTCGCAGAAGTAATTGACTGCTACTTTGTAATGGACAGGTTGGAACATGACTTAAAGTGAGTAGAAAAAAAGAGCTTCTGCTTACTTTTACATTGTATTTACTGGTTTTCTTACTTTTAAAGAGCAGTGCATTGATATTCTGGAAGATCACAAGATCCTGCCTGACAATAGTAACTCAGCATTAATAAAGTCAGTTCAGTCAAACGGCAGTAAAGATACAGAAGTGGGCAAGTGGGATCACATTTAGAAAATGAAAGGAAGATGTCAGCTCTGGCTTTCATTTCATCACAACGTGAACGACAATGTAAAGAACTGGCCAAGGCAAATTTGAGAGTACAGATACAACGTGGGTTCATTATTATTATTACTACTATTGAAGATAATATCCAAACATGATCTGATTTGTTGAACTACTTGGGCTGTAAGTTAGTGCAGTATTAACCAGCGGTGGATCTTATTCTCTTTTACAGAGAAGGCTTTTCCATTTCATTTCCTAGTCTACTTCATGATGCTTTATGACGTTTTTATCATACTTTCAAAGATGAGCATCCAACTGATTTATTTTGCTTTAATTGCATTAAGTCACACTGCTCAGAGAGACAGTAAGCAAAATGCAGCTTGGTTTCATTATGCTATTCCTTTGTGACATTACATTTAACCTATGTTATTTTTCTTCACAGTATTTATAAAGTAAAACCATAAGAATGCCTGTAGAATTTGAATAGTTTCACTTCTCAGCTTGTTCCAAACAAACAGCTTTCAGGCGAAGGCTTTTAGAAGAGTTCTTACATTCTACAGCCTGAAGCAACTAATGTGCAAGACAGAAGGAAACTATGGGCTGGAAAAGTACGCTGGGCTGTGTCAACTGAGGAGACAGTATGTCATCCTCATAGCATCCTTACTTCCTTTAGCATCAGGTAATTTGCAAATGCTCTGGCTTGCAACTGGCTTGGCATATTGCAAAACTAACATTTTCTGGCTGAGCACACATTGGCTTGAATAAGTCTTCAAGCCAATGATGACCATGCATAAGTGTTAAAATTATACTGCAAACTAAAATTGGTGTATTAGCCTGAGGTTAGGCCTTGCAACAAAGCTGTTTCGAGGAATGTAGGTTGGAGTCATGATATGAAACCCAGGAAATCCCCACACAAACCCTCCCCTACTCAAAGAAAGACTGAAATCCAAAGAGAAGCAATTTTGTCTTTCTTAGAGCATTTGTATCTCAGAACTATCTGACTCTGAAATCTGAAAAAACTCAAAACGTATGCAGATGCAAGGAGTTATCTTTATCTATTAATCCACTAAAATCTCTGACTACAATCTGAGTAGAATGGAATACTTTGACAAAAAGGTGCATTAGCTGGGGCCAGTGAAAGACCTCCTCTTCCTGCCAGTATTGGCCTTTTGCGACTGCTACCGGTTCACAGCTAAAGAACTTAAGGGCAGAATAAATAAGATTCTTGTCCGACTTTCTGTCTTAACAGCATTTGAGTCCAAACCCCAGTATTAGGAGCAGTCATTTCAGCAGCAAAAGTTTTAAAATTCAGAGCAGATTAAACTGTTTTATGCTGCAGTGTATTGGGGGAGTAAGTCACCCCCCTTCCCAAAACTCTTGCAGTATCAGGAACCTGAAGTCCTTCCAAAATCCAGAGTCAACAGTCAATTAGACTCTGAATACATCAGCAAAGCGTGTAACCATCATCATCACCACCATCATCATCCTTCTATTCCCTCTATATTTCAGAGGACTGATAGTCCGTGATAGCTTTTCTATCTGTATTCACTGCTATAGAATTCACTTCCAAAGCCTGGAAAGCAATCAGGAAACATCTCGTAACATCATGACAGGGTAAGAAGACAGGTCTAGTTGTTTCTGCCAACAATGGCCTTAGATATTCTCTGGATTCCAGGCTGGCAGTCCACAAGTCTTTCTCTTGGAAGAGGTGTGAAAGACTGCCTGTGCTGTGAACATAATCTTGCTTAATTTTCAGATCTCCCCACAATGTTTATTAACAGCAACAGATTCAGTTGCCAGAAAAAAACAAAAAAAAGTTCAACTTTCAAAAAGGATCTTTCCAAGAGTATGTGGCCAGTAAGGAGACAGTATACTTTCCATAAAAAAAACTGAGTGTGGGCAGGCAGAAAGGAGAGTCTTCCTGAGCATGTGTGCATTGTGCACAGCCTTCTTAGATTAACTGTAGCTCTTCTTATGGAAGAGAGAATTTTATAATTTAGTGTTATTTAAAAGTTAAATACTTCAGTTATGTGTAACCCAAGGCTTCCTTTCACTCGCTAGCATGGTTTTCATCCAGATCTTTAACAAGCTGGTAATGTGAATGGAAGATGCTACAAAGCAGAACCCAAAATGCAGCAGAATGCAAAGATATGCCAGTCAGCATCCTGGTGACCTACTTTTATTGTAGCAATCCCATTTCTGAAGATATGTCACTATTCTTTTTAGGTAAGCTGCACAATGAGGTGTCAGCAAACATGCTGCTTATCATTAAAGATGTTGCTTGATGACTGCAAATACTTGTCTGTATGACTGCCATTCTTAGTCAACGAGCTCCCACAGTAATGTGCAGTATCACTTTCCTAAAAGAACAAATACTGTTATGCTTCTACAATAGATATATGTGGGACTGAGCAAAATGCCCATCTATCATAAAGGTGCTGCTCTATGGATTCTAAAACTGTGAAAAACAGAAAGACGTGTTTTCAGATGGACAATGAGAGAGTGGCTTGAGGCTTTTTCTTTTTGGTCTAGGCACATTTAAACAACTATTTCAGTGTGTTTCCTACATGTTCCATTTCCTACATGTCCTAAATGTTCTATGTATTACCTCACTATCTGACTTGATAAAAACTCCTTAGTTCTTCACAGCCATTGATCTTTAAGGCACATGTCAAGCAAGCAGAACATCATTACCCTCCCCTATAAATAAGGCACAGCCGCATTCCTACATTGAACAGTCAGTTCACACACACAAAAGTATCATAGAAGTGAATTTATTTCACTTATATTACTCAGAAAAATCTCAGGGAGACTCATAAGTTTGGAACAACTTAGTAAAGAAATCATGAAATGACCCAGAAGTTATTTACAAAACAAACTGCTGACAACATTGGATGAAACAAACACCAGTAATATACCTTCAGGAGCATTCTGAAACTGCAGCCTAAATTGAAAGCACTGGTGAACTGAGTGCTTCCAAATTTCTCTTAGTGGCTTTTTTCAGGGAATGAGGGATAATAAATTAAAAAGACCTTAAAACTGGAAGTATTTTCTGGCTCATTTACTGACAATGAGTCAATATAATTTTACGGGTGATGAAGGCTACAAAACAAACTAGTTCATTAGCAAGCCAGCCAACAAAACCCAAAAGTAACCTTGAACAACTTGCAGGGCAGTGTATTACTAGGCATGTATTTTTACACTTCAGTCTGAAGCTAAATGTTTAGAAAAATAATATTTAGAAAGCACAATGAAAAATGAACAATACTTACAACCATACCGTTTAGGGACACCCAGCAATCTGGTGGGAAATCCTGGAGCAATGGTACTAAAAATTGAAGACAACCATCCCAGTGGCACAGCAGTAGCATCATTCCAATCAGATTAAAGATTCTCACCACAGCACTGGCCAGATCGTACGTCATGTGGAAAATCTGTGGGTAAAAATTACAGGTGATGTACCTGATGCAAATCAGAAAGATAAAACATTTGCTTCTCATTGGGCAGGTTAAAGGCAAAGAAGTATCATCCAGAACTTCTAAAAAAGCTGAGATTTCTCAGCAAGGACCATTAGTTCGGGCACACTAATTTGGGCAGAGAGCTGTGCTGACATACCTGACTCTTGGCTGCACACGAGTGTTATATAAGCTGCTGAAAAGGCATATTTTGGGTAACAAGTCACCAATTAAAGTATTTTCTCAAAGCCTACAATCCCTTTGGATTGAAGCAAGTCTCACAAATTAAAAAAGCTTGTTAAAAGTAGAGAGATCATTACTTGTCTGTGAATTTGGTGTCTAAAAATCTGAGTAAAGAAATAATATAAGTAATTTCACATATTTTTGGACTTCTATTTCTATACTATTGATCCAATTTGCACACACCAGTTCACCAGGCAAAATGATGAAAAGGTAGTTCATTGCTCTTAATCGTTAGCAGTTTTCCTAAAATGCTGAGAAACCTACAGCTACTACATCTGCAGTAGCTAAGTTTATATCAAACTAATACAGCCATTTGGATTTCAATATATTCCTCCATTCTTAAGACAAAAAATGTTTGCACCTGAAAAGTGTCTTACAGCAAATCACACATATACTCTTTAAAACAACATAGACATTCTCAGGTTTGTCATGGGCAAATTTGTTAGACAGAATTAGCATGAACAGCAGCAGTCCACTGCCAGCTAATATGGAGAAAAACACTGTGTTCGGCACTTTTCTACTATATTCGTTTGAAAGCACTTCCAAACTACAAATACAGGTATATTCTTTACTTCTTATACAATTCAGTGAACTCAGTATAAATATGTTACATTTTAATACACATAATTGTCACTATGCAGGAGTTCCACTGAGAAGATGAAGAATGCGCAGTTGGTATCTTATGGAGTTTTAAGTAGGAAATGTTATTTAATTGTACAGATAGACATAGAAATCAGAGACTTTAGTGCTGAAATCTTCAGATTGCTAGAGGTATACAGGCATTTTGCACATGACATTTTACATTTGTAAATAAAGTAATTCACATATGAAAGAGAGGATGTTTGCATCGTAACTTTAAGACATCTAAACTAAAAGCAGAGATTAAGTACCCACACTGTAAATGAGTGCAAATGCAAATATGGAGAGCATGTTATGGTGTCTTTCAACATCATTTTCTGTTAGTGGGAGTTTGTCCTTGTTTGAAAATGGTGGTGTGTGTTTACCTATGTCGTAGAAACATGCCTCAGACGTTAACTTTATGTGCAAAATATTTTTTCATTCATCTAGGTCATCTTAAGAGAGTATGTTCCAAATCCCAGTTTGATAGACAATGGAAACAGATGCTTGTAATGTTATTCAAAATGTCATGTCTTATCCAAATACCATCTAGGTCCTGCCAAAATTCAGGAGATGACACTGATATTTAGGAGACACTTTAAATGGAAATTAACAGAAAAGTGTCACCATTACACCTTTGTCTTGTTAAGAAGTGTATTTACATTACATCTTTTTCAATAGCTACAGTTTCTGTAGCATGATATGCACCAAGAGATTAGATGTGTGAACTGAAATATTTCTGTTGTAAAGAACTGGAAGTACCAGCAAGGATTATTACTGTTTTGCAACACTAACACTCATTCAGGTTACGCTTTATCCACATAGTTGTTATACTATAATCACAAAGGGCAGATGAATTCCTGGTCGCACGAGAAGTTGCAGAAGTTTTGTCAGAGAAAGAAGGATTTCGTCTAGAATATTTGTCTGAAAAAGTGCAGAAGATCAGGCAGAAACAATATATATTTTACACAGAGAACAAAACTCCCCCAGGAATTTTCTATTGCTCCAGAAAAGCAAGTTATCACGTCTCTCCACTACAGCTGGACAAAAAACAGATTTTCCACCCATGCTGTTTTCATACTGCCTCAATATTCCCATCAGGCTGTAAGAGAGCAGATATTCAGAATAACTCACTGTTTTGGATCCTTTGTGTTTTTTAAAAAATGGATCACAAATACGACAATCGGAGCCAAACTTAGCACAAACACCTTCATTTCTATACTTAGAAAGAGAACTTTTCTGAAAAGATGCACCTAGGTGCATGTGACAAAACAGGGGAAGATCTGGTTCTCCAAATCACTCCAGAGTCCAAAACCCAGCACTTGCATATACTCAAAGCTCCTGAATTCTTATTCTGCCTATGGAGTCAACTATGGGCTTAGGCACCACGACAGCTTGTGCATGATAATAGCTGCATAAAAATGATAATTCTATGTCTTTCACTTGGATGGAGCCCATTTTTGGGAATCCACTCGATTACAGAGACTGCGAAGCTCATAACTTGATATAGAATTTTCTACATTTCAGAACACTCTGTGCTGGTACATTTTCATTTCAAATTTTGAAACTATATAATTGGGTAATTGGGCACTGAAAAGAAAAAAAAAGTGGGTGGATACATTCGCCAAGGTATTTATTTAAGCATTTCTGAGATCTTCCCTAGCTCTTACAGATACATCCCTCTCTGCCCACCCCATGAGACTTCCCAAGCGAGCCAGCAAGAACCGGGATGCAGAAAGAGATATTACAAAGGGAGACTAAAATTCGAAAGAAGAAGCTGCAGCAGTGAGTTCAAACTGAAGGACCTTGCTGAACCAAAGATGTCTGCTGTTGGGTTTGGGCTCTGCAAGGACTATTCTATCTTGCAAAGTGGTACAACTGGGTAACAACTGATTCTCTTCAAAGCCTCTTCATTAGTAGTGTGCCTCCACAGAAATAGTCACATTCTGCAAGAAGAACAACATGTTGAAAATTTTATGTGAAACCACATCCAGCAAAGGAAATTACTGCAAGAGCCTGTATGTGACACTGCAACCTTCCATTATTTCTGAAACCTTTCACTCCAGAAATAGCTCCTGTGCAGCTTAGCATTCAGGGTCAGTACTATTAAAAATGCGTGAGCATATTCTGGATATTATCTGGATTGCTTAACACGGTAACATTGTATCAGCATTTCAACCATATCATATCGTACTGTCATTGCTCATCTTTTGCTCATATAGTCTAATATTTGTGTAGCCTATTCTAATAACTGTGATAACTCTGTATTAAAGAACATAATTTCATAGGAAATATCTTAAGCAGATGTTGAAAAAACCTTTTAAACATCTCTGCATATTCTCTCTCCAATAAAAAAAAAAGCTGAGTTTTTTTCTCCTAAAAGGAACTTCTCATGGAAATGTGTGCTTCGTTGGAAAAAAAAACATTTAAATACCCAAAGCATACATTGTAGGTGAACAGTAATAGTTTGTGGTACTGGGTTGAAATGTTTACATTTGGAAGGGAGGGAAGCTGCTTTTTAAAACTAATATCCAAACTACCCTGTGGACAGAAGACATATATTGCATGTTTAAGATTTTATACTCTTCCGTTCTGGAACTGATTGTGATACATTGAAACAAGAGCAGGAAGAGAGTCATATTTTTATACCATTTTCTTTTCCGTAATCACAAAGTACAGTTCCTATATTAATGAACTAAACCTTACTAAAACTCTTAGGAGATGTGTGAATTTTGTTAAGAGAGGAACTGGAGGACAGAAAGCTAATGCCATTTATTTCAGCAGATGGTAGCTAGCCTTTCAGCCGGTCCTCCAGTGGGATAGGAAGATACATAGGAAGACCACAAATCGATTTACTTTAATTTTGAAGTATACATGTGTGGTTAAATCTCTCTGTTTCAATGAATGTCTTATCAAGATAATATTCATGACAAAAATAATTCAAACACTTGCATGTATCTAAAGTTAGACTCCTAAACCCATTATTCAGGTAGTCCAATATACATAGCCTGGTTATAATTAAACACTTCTCATCCACAAATGCCATGCAAACAAGCAGGAACTGCAGCTGTAAAACACAATTGAAAATCTGGCCACTTTATTTTGACTCTTAATTTCATACCTAAATATTCAGTTTAACCAGCAAGAGGTGCAAATTTTGGACAAGACATTTCAGAAAAATTACTAGAGTGACATGAGATTACTGCAACTGAGAAAAAAATAAAATTCCCCTGAGAACTAACTCTTTCCACATTTTTATTTCACGTAATAGGAAAGATTTGATAGATACCCCTTCTTTTTGCTTACTGCTCAGTTTCACTTCAATTACATATGATATTTTTTATTATAATGTTTATTTGGGAGGGTTGGCTATAATACTGCCATTTTTCATAGTTTCCATATGCTTCAAAATTGTGTTTCATAAAAGATTTAGTTTATTAACTTACTTCTGAGAACTCACAGTTTCTTCTATGTTATTTTCATGACCTTTTCTCAGTACCCTGAAAACCTTAAGTGTTTGCCTGAAGAGCTGACAATGCTTCTGACAATGGCTGAAATGTAACCACAGATAAATAGTTTCTAATATTTTGGCAAAATATTGCTCACAGAGAATAAAAAAATTGCTGAAGAAGTCAGAGTTCACATGTTTTATCTCAGCTTTTACTCCCACTTTATTAATGACTCTTTTTATTCACATGTGTGAAGGCAGGAAGCAGACTATTCCTTCCTCACATTTCTAGTGAGCGTATACTTTAAATTGGTCCTGTTAACTCTGATTTCTGAGCCTGAGACAGAAAAACTGTTCCAGTCTTACCAACCCACTTACTTAATAGTATTTGCGGGCTGTCATATTCAGTTAATAGTGCACATATAGTTTAACTAAACGAACACAAAATCTGTTGAACTGCTGTTGTGGAATGCATAGGTTACCTCTACTGCCTTCTCGTAATTGGAATATAACATTTGTTCAGTTGTGATTTTTAATTCAGTTTGATTTTTAGCTTCAGTTTATATAAAAATTGATTTATATAAATTTAAAAAAAAATCTTAGGATTTCCTAGAAAATTTATTCATATCTCACATCACTGACTACATCCAGATACCTGTTCTCTTCCACC